TGCTTGTTTACCTTATGGCTTGCTCATCTCACATATTCTTGAGGTCATGAAGGTTGATTTGGAACCTTTCTCACCTAAGCACATTACAAGCACCTATGATAAGACAACCTTTACTATGATGGGTTACACTCTAAGTGACGATGGATGGGTCAGACGTGCCAAGGTTGAAAGCGCTCCAGTACAGGTTAAGGCACCCACTGAACCAACAGAGACTCAGTCGACTGCTACCAATAACCTACATCAGATTCAGCAAGGTCTAGATGGGGTAAAAATCATGCTCATTGCAATGAAAGAACAGGTGGACAAGATCAGGGAAGTCACCAAAGAAACAGGTACAGATGTGGTTAAGCTCAGGATGGACATGGGAGTCACAAGGAGGCAAGGAATCAGGACATTCAACTCCATGACAGAAAAGATGGACAAAATCACCAAAGAAGTTGAAACCTCCTATGACTCCTTATGCACCAAAGTGATCAATACCCTGAAGTACTTTCTGGGGAGGAACTAAGGCAGTTGTTTGTGTGTTTAAAACAATCTTTTTGCTCGTTGTTTGTTTTTGTTTTGTTAATTACTTTTGCCTTGGTATGTAAGAACCATCACCATGTGCCTCTGCTGAAGGCATAACCTCTGCTACTCTAACTACTATGTTCATTATCTGCACTTGCTTCTTTCTTTTTGATTGATGTCAAAGAAGGAGAAACGTGATGAGTAAAACAAAGCAACAACTCAGGGGGAGCAACACTTCAGTTTACATGGTAACAACTCACTTCAATTTACATGGTAGCAACTCAGTGGGAGCAGGCACTTTAAGATATGAAAGGGAAGTATACTATGTTTACTCTTTTTGATTGTCATCATCAAAAAAGGGAGATTGTTACACCTAGGTTTCAATGATGACAATAGTGCAAATTTAACCGTATCTATTTAATTGCAGAAAATTAGGAGGGTGGTACTAATTCAAAGGAAGTATTTTCATTAAAGATATTAGAAAGGAAATAAGATCAAATGTAGCAAGGACAATGCTAAATCAAAGGATTCAAGGCCATAAAAAAGGAAATAAGATCAAGTACAGTCGCTATAGGAAGTCAGGTCCTACTTCAAGGAATGATTTGGAATCTGGAGATTCTGAAGACTGATCGATCAAGTCAAGCCACAAATCACTCCCTTGATTATGGATACGAAAAGGAAGGACGTCAATCTGCAACGGCTACTCAAAACTCTCGTATAAGAAGATTGGCAGACTCAAGAATTTAATTACGCAACTCACCACTATTTTCTATGTCTTCCTAGTTCTTAGTACAAACATTGTATTCCTAAGTTTACTAGTGTCTCGAAAGATAGGAAGTGTTAAGAAGCAAATCAAGAGTTGTGTCAAGCTTATAAAACATTGCTACTGAAAATTGTTGGTGGTAAACGATCCATAAAACCACTGCTACTGTAACCAACTATTAAAGATCTAAAAGAACCCTTGTGACCCAAGAAAAATAGATGTAGGTACCACACCGGTTCTGAACCAGTATAAAACTCCTATGTTCTCAGTTTTTAAATTCCTTGCAATTTACTTTTCTTCGTCAATCAAACCTGCTGTTAAAAAGAAGTCGACTAAGTCTCTTCTAAGTCGACCAAGTTTTTTAATTAGTTACAATTCACCCCCTCTTGTACTTTCACCCTTACCAAGAGATTTTGTGATGCTGCAGTGAGGAGGTGGTGACCCATCTCGTCTAGGGGAGGCATTGGGCATTGCTTCTCCGTCTGCTGTTTCACAGCTCTCATTGATGACATTCATGAGGTTGGTTGGGAGGTCACTTATTATTTTCGTCCTTTTTTATTTATTACATGCCATATGGGATTCGCGCACACAAAGAAAGGAGATCTTGTTCTTGTTTTTTTTTTACGTTAGTGATCCGTGTTAGTTATAGATCTAGAAGAAACTAAAAATTTAACTAGGAAATCCCCACAAACGGCACCAAATTGTTTGACCAAAAACAATACTCCCTCTGTTTTAATTTATGTGAACCCATTTGACTGGGCACGAAGTTTAAAAAAAGAGAAGATTTTTGAACTTGTGGTGTAAAATGAGGCACATATATTTTGTGTTGCTATAAATCATTGCATAAAGGTAAATTATTTCCAAATAGGGAAAGAGTTCATTCTTTTTGGCACAGACTAAAAAGAAAATATGTTCACATAAATTAAAACGGAGGGAGTATAACTTTCGGCTAAATCAATTGTATTTATATGATGAAAGGTTAAACTTAGTTAATAATAACATCTCTAGATATGAGTTCCGATGATGTGGCTAACATTAAATAGATCTGGTGGTGGATAGATAACATGCATTAAATATTCTAAAAAGTATGAGCAATAATGGAGGAATATTAGCAATAAATAACAATAAATGACATTAAGTAAATAGGAGAAGTGATTCACCCAATAAAGGATGAATTAGATGATTGTTACTCTTGACAATGATGAGCGACAAACAAATTCTAGAATGTTCGAATTATTCTCGGATCTGATGGAAAAGTATGGAATAATACGAACATGAATCTTGATGAAAATGTGATGTTTATGTCTTTATAAGAGAGAGAATCTTTTATCAAAAGTCTACTCTTATCAAATGAATGTCACATGCCCCATATCACTATCTCTTTTTCGATATATATGAGACATACCCCTAACAAACCCTAATAGTATAAGTGCAGAGAATATCCACTAGAATATTCTCTTTAATATCCCATTTTGAAAACCAGCCGTTAAGGCTCTGCTAAAGGTATCTGATCTCGTCCGTTGTTGACACCACATACCTTGCTGCTTCCTCGTCAACCTTGACTGACCCATTCCTTAGCGCTTTATTGCCCTAAAATATTTTAAGGCAGATTTCGACATATACACATAGGACCCAAAGTTTGGGTCTTATGAGTTTGTAGAAATTCCAAGACTTCAATTCCTTTTCTAAAGTTATGTTTATTTTCAAGCAACGTCGATTTTTTTACAAAATTAACTTCTAAAAAGTATATAAATATGTATTAATTGAATGTTTTGGACGAAACTGTGCAGCCCGTTGTAGAAGGATGTCTCAGCCATTGTTTATATCTTTGCTTATATAATCCGAGTACTGACTCGTGAAATAAATCCTTCGGTGATTATAATTTTTTTTATAATTGTTACGAACTTAGTATATAAATCTAAGGGTCCGGATTTGCTCCAGTAATATTCAATTCCCCCTTAAATTCTTGCCATCTGTCTAATAGAAAATTAATGGCTTGGATTTACTTTGGGTACTAAAAAGAATTAAATAGAATTTTCTTTAAAATTTTTTATTAACTCTAGTTAAGCTGACTGCAACGATGCAGTAAATTTTCTTCTCAGTTGTCAACTATGAATAGAAATCTTGTAATGATACACCAAAATCCTTTTATTTATTTTTTCAAAAACTTAACATAGAACATTTATATTTACAAAATAAAAAGTAAAGAAAGAAACTTAAATTTTTTTTCTGGAATCTTCTACTCGATAATACACAATAATGCATTCTCTTATAAAATTTAAAAATTATTGACATCTTTTAGTAATTAATCTTACTGCAATAACTAGCTTAATTGTTTTTAAATTAACTTTATTTGGTAAGAATGAGCACTATTTGCTTTTTAGGAGTGCTTGAATATTTACTGTATCGTTGCAGTCACCTTAACTAGAGTTAATAATTCTTTTAAAAATGTTCTGCATTTAATTGTTTTTAGTACCCAAAGTGAATCCAAGCCATTAATTTTCTACTAGACATATGGCAAGAATCTAAGGGGGAATTGAATATTACTGGACTTAAAATCACTGGAGCAAATCCGGACCCGTTATACACCTCCCTCCGTTTTAATCTATGCGAACCCATTTAATTGAACACGGAGTTTAATAAAACAGAGAAGATTTTTGAACTTGCGGTGTAAAATGAGACACATATATTTTGTGTGGCTATAAATCATTGCATAAAGGTAAATTGTTTCCAAATAAGAAAAGAGGTCATTCTTTTTTACACGGATTAAAAAAAAATAAGTTCACATAAATTAAAACGGATGGAGTAATATTTTATCTATATATATAATATAATTTTTCGATGAAAGATGATCAATTGACCACCCTTCGAATAATGTAGCTTCACCTGTATAGAACGATGTCGTCATGGGCGAATCCATGATTTAAATCCTATGGGTCCAACTTTTAAAAATTTTAGCATCGAACCCATTATATATTTTAAGCTATGGGTTCATATTTACTATTTTTGTAATTTTAATAAATTTTTACATATAAATTTTTATACCGCGTCAAAAATTATACTTAAGTTAACAAGTACACAATGCACTACATCCGCCCCTTCCGCCCCTGGCTGTAGTGATTTTCCTTTTCAAAAATCTACCACATCTTTCCATTTTCCTGCAACTCCAAGTAATAATTTCTCCCAACATGCAAAACAACAATTGGGACAAAAATGAGTTTGGGAACTGCGAATTAGCCTGGGACTTGTGTCCAAAGAAAAAAAAATTGAATTGAGACCAACGAAATGTTAACACTGATTTTGAATAATTATAGGCCAAAAAAAGAAAATTTTACTCAACCAATTCTATAGGATTTTCCCTTTTTACTGTAGCAGTACTGATTTCGGGTCTTCGACCCTAGATTTTTCATGCACATATAAATCAAGGTAAGTATTTCGAAAATACTATTTTCAGTCTTATCTTCATGCATTTGACGAGTGATACGTGCATGAACTATGTGAATGTGTAGATATTAAGGAATATATATAGAGCCCAATAGGTTAAGAACTACGATTTCATTTCATTGGTTACTTGTAAATAACAAATGCGTACATAACAAACATGGAAATTAATTAATGATAACAGCAATGTTATACATGCTAATTAAAGCCAACAATCTTTTTCTTGAAAATAATGCAAGTCCTCGCATGTTTTTGAGTTCATGCAAACTTAAGAAACTAGCTAACAATATTAGTGATGTCCGCCAATTCCACCACCAAAACCACCTCCAACTCCCCCACCAAATCCACCTCCAAATCCACCATATTTGCCAAAGCCTCCTCCAATTTCTCCTCCTTCACCACCGCCAACTCCTCCACCAATGCCACCACCTTTGCCAATTCCGCCTCCGATGCCACCACCCTTGCCAAATCCGCCTCCAGAACCACCACCAATACCACCACCTTTGCCAAATCCGCCTCCAATTCCTCCTCCTTTGCCAAATCCGCCTCCAATTCCTCCTCCTGCTCCATTGCTATCTCCTCCACCATTTCCAATTCCACCTCCAATGCCTCCACCTTTACCGAATCCTCCGCCTACACCACTGCCAATGATTCCACCTTTGCCGATGCAATCTCCACTAATGCCTCCACCTTTGCCGATACCTCCTCCAATGCCACCACCCTTTCCAAATCCTCCTCCAACACCACTACCAAATCCACCACCTTTACCAAATCCTCCTCCTACGCCACCAACTCCGCTTCCTTTGCCAAAGCCACCGCCAACTCCACCTCCAATACCACCAGCCTTACCAATGCCTCCACCTATTCCTCCTCCATTTCCAAATCCTGCACCACCTAAACCACTTCCACTTCCAATACCGCCACCAAATCCACCACCATACCCCGCTCCAAACGCACCACCAAATCCACCACCCTTACCAATCCAGAAAAACTTCTCATCAACAACATCTTTCACATTTCTCGCAAGAACCATATTACTTCCCACGAGGACATGAAAGCAAACCAATGCTAACACACCTATCCTCATTCCTCGGCCTATCATCTTCAAGGAATTCATGTGAAATGACGTGACCTTTTTTTTTCTCTCTCTCTCTATTTTCGGTCACTGCCTTATATGCAAATAGCATGAAGAGCTAAACGGCTTTATATACTTGTGTATTCTTATGTGGTACTTCACATTCTTACTCTAGCTAGCATTGATGCGCTTTAAATATATAGCTTCAACTTCTACCCGTTAGCCGCACTGTAGATGCTGAAACAATTATGGAACTTGTATCAATGTGTGTTTATTCGCCTGTCAATTCTGCATAATGGCATAGAAGTGCCGTTCTTTCAGTTTACAGTTACACTTTGCAATAAAGAATACAACTTTATTTTTATTGCAATATAGTATAATTAGTCAACTACTTTACAATATAGTGTACAAATAATGGAGTGGATAACAATAAATTTGTTCCGTTTGGATCTCTTCGCACCGTAAGAATTTATTTCGCGGGGTGAAAAACTAGTGGGGAGTGGTGGCTTCTGTTAATGGTCGATCAAGTTACAGTTCACTCTCTGATCAAAGAGCATTTATACTTGTTTGTCACATTTTATTTGAACAATAATTTTGCTTTCCAAAAGTGCTAGCTATACCTTTACTTCCATTTTTATTTGAACAATAATTTTATTTTTTCATAAGTGCTAGGAGAGTAGCTTCTTGATTTCTTGCTTGCTTGTAATTAATCATGATCTAAGTCGTTTCAATCCTCCCTCTAGACATGTAAATGAGAAATTCTTGAATATTTAAGAACATCATATTCAAACAAATTTGCAAGCTATATATATTGTCCTGACTCCTGTAGCTTTTTTTAATTCCTTTTTCCGCTGATTCAAAGAATTTTATTATCCAGCTTTTTCCAATGAAGGTACTATCTGTGTCCTCTCCTTTTTTTTTCTCATTGATTTTATTTGATATACTTTAAAGCTCAAATTTAAAGGCACTAATTACCAAAATTTAATTCGCTGAAATTAATTTCTCAAGAATTTTGAATGACAAGACTTCTGCTGGTCCAATTGGGAGCTGAAATTTACTTCTGCTAGCTCAATAATTGGTATTCACAACTAGAAATCCACTAAAAACCGACCAAATATTTCCGACTAATGTTGGTCGGTCAAAAAAAGCGACCAAAAACCGTCCAGCTTGGACGGAAACTGAAATTTTTTTTTATACATTTTTTTAAAACTAAATATCGACCAACGTTGGTCGGTAAATTGGTCAACGAATTGACCCAGCTGGTCAGACAAGAAAACTTTGGATTACCGACCAACGTTGGTCGGTAATCTGGACCCAATTTTTTAAATTTTAATAATTATTTTATTATTTAAAATATTTTATAATATTTAAGAATTTATATTTAAAATTACCGACCAACGTTGGTCGGTTAATGTAGGGGAAGCATTTACCGACCAACTTTGGTCGGTAATTGTTATTTTCTGCAAAATAACCGACCAAAGTTGGTCGGTTATTACGTCAACATTGGTCAAACTTTTGAATTACTTTTATATTTACTATTTAAATAATATAAATGTAATTCGTTAACACTTTTGTAATACAAATAATGAATACACTAACTATATATAACATGCTATATATGTAGTTAAAGTAGTACAACGAAGCATGTTTTATATATATATATATACACACACACACACACACACACAAACATATACTATAACAAGCTATATATATAGTTAAAGTATTACAATGAAGTGTGTGT